CCATGTGGTCTCCTCCGGGGCAGGTGGGGATCGAACTCATGCGGAAATGGCTTTAGCTTCTTAATGCAGTGCTTTAACCCGCTGCGCCACCAGGGAGGGCCAGAACAATTATTTTTAACACATAAACAGAGTCTCAGAAACTTGCTCCCTGTACCAGACAGCCTAACATACATGCAATTATAATTCCAGTAGAAGCAAAGAAAAAGAATTGGTCAGGGAAAAAAAATTAATAAAGAATTCCCCCAAATTTGATGAGAGACAGAAGTTGCAAGTATAAATGTTAAATGAATACCAGGGAAAATAAACTTAGGAAGTCCAAACTAAAATCAAACTGTCCAAAGCAGATAAAAAGGTTGAATATATCAAGGTTTTTGTGATGTAATGTTGCCTGTATCATCTACAGGTTGAAATATATCATCTATTCTTGACTTGATGTAGATTAATTTATTACCCAAGAGAATATTGCATATGAATGAAGTTATTAACATTTGCTTCTGCAAAGCAGCTGCTAAGCCCAAAAGCAGCAGTGGCACTGAAATTAGTACACTTCTTGAAGCACTGAACATTGAAGCTATTTCAAGTAGGTGACAGTAAGTCTCTCTTCCTTCTTAAGATCCTAATCAGTTCAGGTGATGGTATTTGTAGAAGCAGTAAGGGCCTGTTACTCCTAATATATGTAGAAGGAAAATTTTATAAATCAATAGAGAGTTCCCAAGGAATAATAGGCAAGCAAGGCTTAAACAAGCTTAAGATTTTTAGCTTAAACTTAAGAAAAAAAAAAAAAAGGAGTTAATGAATCCCACCAGACTGCAGGGAAAAAACAACTGAAAAAGCAACAGGCTAATGCTATCCTTTGACAAATGGAAGCATTTCTATTACTCAGAGAAAAAAAAAGATACATTTAAACATGAATATTAAATACTCTGATATTTAATGTCAGTGTCAATGAAAAAGAGTTGAAGAATGGCTTCAGTGTTAGACAATGAAAACTTTTAAATAGGTCTTTGTGGTTGGGGATGGCTAGAAAGTAAACAAAGATAGGGGATATAGAATTAAAAGTTATTGTGGCAATTTTGAATGCAGTCCATCAGAGAATAGGTTAGAGTTTCAGCTTCTAATAGCCTGAAAGATTTCTCCTTTTGTGAATGCTTCAGTAGTTTACTACATTAGAGACCCAAAGGGGTTATGGGAAAAGCTAGATAGCTAACAACAAATAAAATCCCCCTGAGTATACTGGATTTAATCAAATTCAATGTAACCTGGCACTTGCTCTGCTGATTCTCATCTTGATGTCCTGAATCAGACCAATTTATTCCTACTGCCCCCCACCCCGGCTCCAAATCTGTAATGTCTAGGCAGAGTCATTAATTCAGTTAAATCTCAAAAGGAAAAATGTACTTTGAATCGTAATGTGAATTTTTAGTGTGTTAAAAGGAAGAAGATTTTATATAATATGGTGTAAAAGAGTAATCCCAAATTGAGAAATGCAGGGTAGCATTCTGGATCAGCTTGTAATTCATTGATTGTAAGGCTGTTTAGAATGTATTGCTTCTTTTGCACACAAAGCATAAATGTTGGATTCTATGTTTCAAGGTGATGAGGTGAGATTTTTACACTTCCAGTAACCTATTTAGACTGCTATTATTCTTATGTATAATCATATGAGAACTCCATTATATAGAAAATATTAAAAATTGTACAAGACATGTTCTGCCCAGCTTCTCATTAGTTAATGAGTACAATCTAAATTCCCCATTTATAAATTCAGGATATAGTATATATTTTTAAATATAGCTCACTTTTTTTTTAAAGATTTATTTATTTATACAGAACTGGGGTACAGGCCAGAGATGCAGAGGGTGAGAGGATTCACCAGGAACAGAGGTCTGCCTCGCCATGTGGATCTCCTCTGGGGCAGGCGGGGATCGAACTCATGCAGAGGTGGCTTTGGCTTCTTAGTGCTGTGCTTTAAGCCGCTGGGCCACCAGGGTGGGCCAAATATAGCTCACTTTTAGAGCAAAATCATCATAATAAGGTAGATAGATGTGTGTGTGAGCATGTATGTATGTATCTATCTATCTATATTGTTACATAAGAAGTATTTATTTTGTATTGTGTATATGGAGAGAGAGAAAAAGAGAGAGAAATTGTAAGGAATTGCAAGGTCTGGCAAATCCAAAATTTGTAGCAGATTGTCAGACCTGGAGGCCCAGGAAGAGTTGATGTTGCAATCTTCCCTCCGGAGTCAGAATTCTTTTATTCTCTGGGCATCTTTCTTTTCTCTTAAGGTCTTCAACTGATTGGAAGAGGCCTATCCAACATTATGAACGTTAATGTTTTACTTTATTAATTTAAATAGTAATCACA